CTTTTGAAAAGCAAAACCATACGAATTGCCAAACACCCCATAAATCAAATGACTCCATTTTAAATGGCATCCGATAATAGTCTGTTGCATGCATCAATCTATTTTATTCATTTTTATTTCTTTTTTTGCTTAATAGATTTAGGCCCCGATTTGGTTCACAGGAATAGGGGTCTGGAATCGGAATCAGAATCGGAGTAGATTATTCTAATTTCAACTGCTTGATCGAGTGGAATCAGAATCTCATTCTCATTCCTACCGGAATGGCATTCTCATTTGAAGAAATAGCCATTCCCTGTCCCTCCCTCAATAAAGTCATGTTTCTACTGATTTTAATTCTCATTCTTATTCCTATCTTAACGAAATAGATTATAGGAATAAATCATTCCAATTCCGATTCCGATTCCAACCGTAAACCAAACAGACCCTTATTTATTTATTTGTAATTAGATCTGTAATCAGAATGTTATCTTATCTGGGGTTGATAACGCACTAGTTCATTACTTCATCTACAAGGGCCAAAGCCCTAAATCATATTAGCTTCGGGCTTTACTACTCTCTTCTGCCGTCAGAGGCTCAAACTTGCAATAATGGCTATGGGCTCAAAGATTGGCCCAGATTCCTAGCGTGTTTCGTTTTGATTTGACATGTCTCAGTTAAGTCCAAGTTATCAATTTTATACAAGGCACGTCTAGCCCAGGTTTTGTCACCATATATTAGGTAGGTAATAAGGGCCAGTTTATCAATTTTATACAAGGCACGGCTAGGGGATGGGGGATGGGCTACTCCTGTTCTATAGCCCAATGAAGCTAAAAAAATGGTACGTCTAGCCCCAAGTTTTGTCACCATATGTAGATACTACATATAAGGTCTAATTTATCAGGCATCTCTTGAGTAAAACTAGTACTTGGAAGGATTCCCTCCTGGGGTGTACTACCCCCTGTCTTGTATCTTGTATGGCACATTCTAAAAAAGGCACCTCTAGGCCTAAATTTTGTCACCATTATAAATAATAGAATCTAACTAAATTCATGGTCTCCGTATTTTTGAACCATCATTACACTAAGACCGTTTAGCTCAAAAACCGTAGGCAAACAGTTGCGTTTCACTCCTAATTAAACTATCAACCGGAAAATCAATGACTAAAACAGTTCTGATTCTAAGTCGGATTTTAAAACATTTGAAGGTCCAGTTCCAGTAGCTATTAAACAATCCACTTGTACACACGGATATATGCTTACATATAAACATTGTAGCCCAACCCGATCAGACCAGTAACATGGTCCTCCTTGTGCGAGATGACACATTGTAATGTGGCCCACAAATGCACTTGCCCAACCGTTTCATTCTTTATTAGGATGAGATCAGAGAAAATGCAAAAGGAAAGATTGATCATCAGATATTCAGATGGACGCACTCTACTACTCGTTTGTTTGGAAAGAAGTAGAACTGGAGAAGTTTACAATTTGTTTGTTATTGGAGTTTCCGAGTTGGTGCTTGGAAGACACTAAAAGTGTAAGTTGGGTTGTCCAGTTTGAAAATTTTCAACTACATCGGGCTCAGGTGGGGGCTCCGGGCCCATTGCTAATTTGACAAAGTCCAATCCAATCCAATTTATGTTGTACCACTGAAATACATTATAGGCCTTGTTCATTTTCTGGGGAATTATTTATCCGGATAAATGTACTTATTCAGATAATACTTATTTAGAAAATACTTACCCGTATAAATGTATTTACTCATATTCTTTTGTTTTCCAAGTAAATAAGATAATTGCTTTTTCAGCTATAAAAAGTTATTGCTAAAAGGGGTAGTTTTAACTCATTCAATTATTGATAACTTTCCCTCATAGGTATCACTTATCCATATAATTGATAAATTTTCTATAAATCCCTCATAAATCTGAAAAAAAAAATAGATAGTTTAGTCAATGATAACTAAAATTCCATTGACCAACTTCCCCCTTTCAACATTCAAAAAAATGAATGGACAATTGGAGCGAACAAAAAAAAGTGTAATAAATTAGAACTGGATCGGATTTAATATCGTTCTGGTTATGGAATCTTTTGTGGGTCGTCTTTAACGGATTAACTAATCTGGTTCAACTTAAAGCAACGCTTGGTTTAACAATCCACCGGCTACTTCTGTACACGAGGGGCAGGGCAAATGCAAACTACTCTCATAGTCGGTGTCGACGCGAATATGTTTTGAACCACAAGTTGAATGTCATGTGATTTGCATGCGCAAGAGAAGAAGGGAGAGATGGATATTGATAGACACAATAGAGTGCGTACAACATGTAATAAAGATGTCGATTGTCAAGGGGTGGAAATAATGGGCCCAATAGTGGTGGGCCTCTAGCGTAATTCACCATGAATGCAGCTTCAGTGGTTCTTGTACCGAAGCTACGATGCCATCATGACCAGTCCAGGAACCAAAGACACTGGGTTGGCCCAGTCTCGCAGTGTCGTAACTCGTAAGTCGTGAGTTGTAATATATATATCCTACACAATTGTTTACATAGGAATCCGCTTTTCAGGTTCATGTCCGTAGTATGCATATACCATAGTGCATTACACACAATATAATAGGAGTGAGGTGGGTTGGGTAATTGTTGGACCGACACTTGGCTATCTGCTGGGAACCAGGGTTATACAAACCAAATACGAACAAAAAGTCATAATTTTTAAGGAATATTATTATTATTAGGTTTATATAAAAGCAGCAGATGGTCGCATGCACGACAAGCAAAGCATATACTCACTCGTAAAATAATATGCAAAACAAAAAAGCAAAAGCCATATTAGGGCTAACAAATCAATTTGCTTAGGCTAGCTAATTCCACATTCTACCAAAATCCCATTCTTTGATTACAAGGAACGTGTGTAAAGAGGGAGACCAGGTAATGAATAATTGTCTATTCATGTAAAGGAAAAAGAATGAAGATTGTCGCCACAAAGAAAGGCATCCTTTCATTATTCTTGAAGGACTTTTCCCTGAACTAATTATATATGTGAGGCCTGAGGGGTGTCCATGATATTAGCTGTCCGAGTGCGCATCATTTGTGTCAATTAAATGTACCTAAAAAGCAACGGTGTAACTGTGTAAGGTGTATGGATATATGGAATAGAAGTTGCACACCTAAATAGGCGTATTTTTCGCACGCTCCACCCCTTTTCGCTCTCCTCCGTAACTATTGCTTTTCAAGGACGATGTCTGTTTGGACGCCGGTATCAAGTATCAACTACAGAAGGGCTACGAAAACGAAACCAAATCAGAATTGAAGTAAACCTGTCTCAGACTCTCAGTTGCTGGTACGTTCGATACCAGTATGGGGTTGCTAACATGTTCACTTCTGATTGGGTTTCTTAGCCCCCTATTACACAGACCCGTTCGGCCGTTCCCGTTCAGATCTCTCTCTCTCTCTGTAAAAAGAAGTTGGACCACACGACACTGAACTGAAGTACATTTCTGCTAGGACTGAAAAGCACCCGGCCCGGATCCATTTTGAACGTTTCGGATCAAGAATTCAAGATATATGTTAATTTGCATTTATCTCCTGACCTAGGTAAATTAGATTCAGTTCCGGTCCGGCCAGTTTATGGTCCCGGTAATATATTGAGTAAATAAAGTTTTATAGGCTGCTATATGGATAAAATATGTTGATCAAAATCAAATGAATGGGTTTCCGATCTGATTGTTATGCACGTGATGGGACTTCAATGAAGATCTGTTTGATACTTGTTTTTCGGAAAAAAAAAAAAAAGAAAATAGATCTTATAAATATATGGTTTATCTGTATATACAGTGAGGACAAGTACAACGAGATAGAGTTTCTGGAATAATGTAGGGTCCGTTTGATAAGGACGTTGGGCAGGGCTTCATCCAACGATATATCGGAGAATTGGAATTGCGTGGGGCCCATCCATTCGTGTTTCAAATCCATAATTTCTCTCACTCTCACACTCATAACAACCGCGCCTCTTAACTGCTCCTTCATTGTCTCTCTCGCTCATACACACTGCATACAGCCTTCTCCTACGTTGTATAAAAAAAACTCTTAAGATCGGCGATTACTCGGCAACTTACCAGCTTCGGAGCTTCCAGTTCCAGCTTCCATGTCTTTAGGAGAAAGACGCCAAAAAAAAAAACGAATTTAATATCGGAGGTGAGTTATGAGATGGGCCGTCGCCCGTCGAGACTCGAGGGGAGAGAATAAAAGCCGGGGCTACCACTTTTGGTGTGTGGGGCCACCACTCGAATATCGAATTAATTCCAGCAATAATAATCAGACAGGAGTACCGGAAAAAACGGGTAAGTCGTGGGTCCACCGAGATTATTATAACATCCTCAGTCCTTACCTCACCACCACTCAATAGTTCCACTTCCTCCTTTGTGTTCCTCTTATGTTTTCGGTAAAAGTTTCTCCTTTGTGTTCATGCAATCAACATAAGAGATTGATCATTCATTGAGATCAACGGCCGATACCATTTCAGGGGCGGGATCTGGGGGGAGGGGGTTTGACGAAAATGAGCGAGGAATTGCTTTTCTGGATAACCGTATGTTCTGTATACTTCACGAGTTTTGATAGAGTATTTACGGTATATAGGAATGAATGTATCATGTGCTTCACCTGTTAATTATACTCTTTTCTTTCAAACCTCGTCCTACACAGTAAAGCTAGAATACTGAAAAGAAGTGAAAGAGACGACCCCACCAAGATCTTAGCCCTACAGATCTAAGACGGTGTGCATCTGGTTGCAGGTAAGATAAAAGGAAGCAATCTGCAGTTACACACAAATATTTCTTTCTTCATTTCGCCTGGGGTCAGTCTTCAGTTGGTGGGAGTGGGACGGGAAAAAATAACGCGGCTTCTGGCTCCAGGTTCTTCCTTTCGATCCTCTCGCTCGCAAATTGCTGATAACGGAGCTCTATTTCCTTCATTAAAGCTATGATGAATACTCCAGGTCCAGGTCTCTCTCTCTCTCTCTCTCTCTCAAGTCTCAGCCTCTCTGGTCCTGGTTTATCATATCGATTTATTTATTTATTTATAAATTTCTTTCTCTGTTTTACGGACTGGAACATCTGAGCGCGTAATTTATGGGGGTTATTAAAGAGCCTGTGCACGAGTGGTAGTGTGTTGTCACTCGAGCTTTCAAACTGAAACGACTGAATCTTAGAGATTTCGAGGTCCGGTCTCCAGATGTAACAGTCATAGATGACGGACAATACCATTTTTGAAGTTCTGAATTGTTTCTTTTTTGTTATGTTTGTTTTTTTTGTTTTGTTTTGTTTTTTTTTTTTTGCAGAGATCGGATCCATTCTTTTCCTCGTTTATTTGGTTTCCGTCGAGTTTTGGTGGTTTTAAGCATGTCGGTGCTGCATTTGGTTATTTAAGCTGAGTGGAGTGGATGAGTGGACTTGGTGGTAGCAGAACCAACCGCGCAAACAAGAACAAAGAAAGCAGGATCTTCGAGGTTTGGTTTCCTCATGCAATAAATGCATGGTTGCTTCATGTTTAAGCTTTAATTCTGAATCCTGTTACTTTGTTACAGGCCCTTCCATCTATCGCGAGCTTAGACCATCGATTTAGGGGCGCAAATACAATAGGGAACAACTGGTGAGACCAAAAATGCTGACGTGCATCGCTTGTTCCAAGCAGCTTGGCGGTGGATCGCTTCACGAACCAGAGGACGACGATACCATTGGCACGCCGAGCACTAAGCAAGCTATTAAAACTCTCACCGCCCAGGTAGACCAAGCGAGGGTTCTTTTCTAGTCTCTATCTTAGCTTACTTCATTCAGCGGGACTTAGGGTTTATAACAGAACCAGAAAATTTTCAGATCAAGGACGTGGCGCTTAAGGCGTCGGGGGCATACCGACATTGCAAGCCGTGTTCGGGAGCGTCGGGGCATCATCAACACCAGAACTATGCGGAGTCCGAGTTGACCTCGGCGTCGGAGAGATATCACTGCTCTTACCGTCGGACGGGGACGTTTAGCTCGAGCTCTACACCGAGGATGTGGGGGAAAGAGATGGAAGCAAGGTTGAAGGGGCTTTCGAGCGGCGAAGGAACCCCGCCGTCGATGAGCGGACGAACCGAGTCAGTTGTGTTCATGGAAGAAACAGAGCCCAAGGAGTGGGTCGCACAGGTCGAACCAGGTGTTCTCATCACTTTCGTTTCGCTGCCTCGGGGAGGCAACGATCTCAAGCGGATCCGCTTCAGGTATTTTTCATCATAATCGTTTAACCAAAGGTTGTGATTAGTCAATGTTCACATGTTCTAAGTACCATTTTGTTGTGTACGTCTTAATTCATGTCCCTGGCTAGATTTTCATCTCATCTGAGCCTAATGGTGATCGCTGAGAAAATTCGCATCCAAAGGCGATATAATTCGATTGCTACCAAGTTGCATATATGGCGGTTGCATCGCTGTAATTTCTCTAATTTTATTATTATTTTATTTTGGGAAAGGGGGTATGTTAGAGGCTTGGAGCCTATGCTTTTTATTCTTTTTTCCCCTTGATCGTCTTGCAAACTTCAATTACAAGCCCCCCCCCCACAGCACATTATTTCTGATATTATCATCGGAAGATATGCTCAATATACGGCGAGAGTGTGCTGTGGGAAGTTTGGGGACAATCTTGTGGGGCTGATTTGGTCTCCGATTACAAAGTATATGAAACAAAAAAGCAAATAAAGAATTCTTTATTTTTAATGTGTGCGTCTGAGTCTCTCTCCCCCAAGTCAGAGTGTAGTAAATTGTAATGAACAAATTGGAGACAATCAAGCATAACACGACAGGGTATGGTTGGGTGCTGAGGCCCGTCCTTGAGTGGTTCCACATGCGAGCACAGGGAGGAATTGGTATCTCCTCCCAACCGAAAATCGTCCCAACACGTTCCAACCTAATATGAGATATTGCTGGAACGTGTTGGGACGGTTTTTGGAAGGAGGTCCAGACCCCAGTGACGGAAAATTATCATAAATTAGTTTTCCTGTACGTTAATGCAGTCTGTATCTAGGTCTCGTTCTGCTAACGAAGATCTCTTAATTTTTGGCTATAGTCTGTAGCCTTATAGGAACCCTAATGAAAATAAACTGTCTGAAAACCCAATTTGATCAGATGCTGCCGAGATGAATTACACAGGTATGGATGTAGGCCGTTTGATAAAAAGCTGTTTTATGATATACGGAGACAATAATGAAAAACAACCTTTTCAGTTTCAAATATCAACCTACCTTTTCCAATGATTCCCCACCTAACTGAAATAGAGGGGTCATGACCTAATTTAATTTCAAATATTTAGGTGTGGGTTTTGTTGCATATACTGGCAGAGAAGGTGGAGCCGATAGAAAAATTGATCCAATCAGCACCATTAACGGAAAAAGACACTGCTTTGAGTTCCGCAACTTGAAGTGGGGAACGCTTACCAAGAACCATCGTCGTTTTTAAGCATGGCTGCATTAGCATTGTAGCAATGATTTTTGTTTCTTTTGGCAGTAGCAAAGATTGTTTTGTTTTTCGTTTCCTCTTCCAAGCTACTGCAATTGTCATTTTTGTACCTGTTGTCTGTTGGCTCTGGAGGTTTACCCATATCCATAAATCTCTTGTGTTCCATTAGATTAATAAACGACAAAAAAAGCCACCTACGTTAGAAACAAACAGTTTTTTTTGACTGTGCAACTTTAAATTCTTGTTTCCTGGACCGTGGGGGTGGTGGGGGTAAAAGGAGGGGAACAAAAAAATTGATTTAGTACATGTTGACCCCGAACTTGAACTTTGTTTTTGATCAGCTGACCCAAACTTTTTAGGCTTTCCCAGTTACATCCGGTAGCCCTGTGATGCCAGTCTGTAAAGTCAAACGCTCTAGCATTTTAGTGGGGTTCCACCTGTTCAATGTGCAATTAATAGTTGTTGCATAAATGCTAGCAACCATGGAACTGATTGGAAGTAATATACAACTGCTTGCTGCACAGCTATTATCTGATTTTTTTGAGAGAAAGCTATTATCTGATTTTTTTGAGAGAAAGCTATTATCTGATTTTTTTGAGAGAAAGCTATTATCTGATTCAAGAAAATAATATCAATCCTATCAAATTTGTGAGTCCAATAAGCACATGCTTGTTTCATTAACCCTGATTTATGAACATAACATTCTTAACACCTTTATGTTTTTCTTAATTTTATATGTTGTCTACTGAGGTGCAGGCCTTGCATGCAGTGCAATTCCATGGCACTTCTTTTTGGAAAATAGGTTGTGTCAGGACTTAAAAATAATAAAAAAAAGGTTGTGTCACGCACCATATCTGTTGGGTGTAGGAAAATATCTTACTAGATCTACCAGTACATTTTCAAGTATAATAATTTTAATTCTCGCTGTATATTCTACATTTACTTGGAAAAACATTTTTTTGTAAAAGACTTAGCTATTTATTGTTTCAAGAAACTACATGGATGTGTTACTCTTTCAGAGGTTTGTTTAGATCATTGTGCGAGACGCTTCATGTTTGTGCATGCCTCATTGCCTCGACTCCAACTGAATTTCTCTTCATCTGTTTTGCAATTATGAGGAATAAATAATGAATATAGACAAGTTCTTATTAGTATGTATATCCTTTTCTTTTTCTTTTGCCCCTTCACCAGCCGGGAGATGTTCAACAAATGGCAAGCTCAGAGGTGGTGGGCTGAGAATTATGACAAAGTCATGGAGCTCTACAATGTCCAGAGGTTCAACCGACAAGATGTCCCGCTTCCAACACCCCCGAGATCCGAAGACGAGGTTAGCTCCCAACCCCTTGCTTACAATTTACAAGAGGGATTGTATTTTGGGAAACAAGGTAAAGCAATAGAACATTGCGGACCCGTTTGGGACTTGAGAGGGCTGAAGCGCAGCGGCTTCTGGCTTTCCGAGGTTGCCCTACACGAAGGCCTTTACGCCATGTTTTGTGAAAAATCCGGAGAGACCGAATCGGCTGTCAGTCATGTTAAGCAATAAGCATTTGGGCTGTCCTGTCCGCTTCAGCCTCTTTAGGTAACTTATCCGGAGCGACTCAAGGCTTCTGCTCTGAACCCGCTTAACTGAACGTTCAGGTCAGCCCTCTCGGACGGGCGATGCAAATGTAGCATATATTGGCCACTACCCTTTTTTCTCTCACCATCTGAATTTCCAGCAAAATGGTTACAACAGAGCTATCTCCATTGCAAATTGAACACACACACATATATATATATATATATATATATATATATATGATTAGGTCACCAAAGAATATCTGATTTCATTTGTTGGATGTCCAAAATGACCTTTCTCCCTTGTTCAGAGCTTGAAGATCGAATCAGCTGAGGACAGCCCAGTTACACCTCCGTTGAACAAAGAGCGCTTACCCCGCAACTTTCACCGTCCCACGGGAATGGGCTACTCATCCTCGGATTCACTTGAGCACCATCCAATGCAGTCTCGTCATTACTATGACTCGGGTGGCTTCACATCAACACCAAAACTTTCAAGCATCAGCGGACCCAAGACTGAAACATCATCAATGGATGCTTCTGTAAGGACGAGCTCGTCCAGGGAAGGTGACCGCTCTGGAGAGCTGTCTATCAGTAATGCTAGTGATCAGGAGACCGAGTGGGTTGAGCAGGATGAGCCTGGTGTTTATATTACTATAAGAGCATTGCCTGGTGGCACCAGGGAGCTGAGACGTGTCAGGTTCAGGTGAGCCATTTCTAGCATCCTCAAATCTTGATCATTTTTTTTTGGCGTATGTTAGACTGCACAAAGTCAACCATGTGGCAGCTCCAAATAGAGGCTATATATGACAGATGAAGGATGATTTTGTTGATTAACCCTTGCCAGTTAACCTACTTTGTGAAATCTGAGGATTGTCCTTACCCTGGATTTCAGATTAGGATCTCTTTGTCTGATGTTTGAATCTAATAGCATTCGCTAGTTGCTAAAGAGTTAGTCATCCAAATCCGAATCGAACTGGGGTTAAAGAATCAAAATCCTAACTCAATCCTACAGGGTAAGGCGGGTTTACTGTTTAACTCAACCTATTGGCGTCCCTATCTTGATCATTTGATAGAGCCTGCATGCATGTTATATTTACAAGCATTATAAGCTAAGCCAGGGTGTGAGTTATTAATTACTGTTCCTATTTATAAACAGAAACTTAAGAGATCAAAACATCATAACATTACTTAAAAAATATCTGCATGAACTTGATCTATCCATGAGCAATTATCTATAAGCTTTTTCCCTGTTTGTTTTGTCCCTGAGATGGAAGCCTTGTAATTTTGAAATAATAAATAACATTTCAGAAAATGCAGCTAAAAAACATTTTAGAAAATTATCATTTAGCTGGTATAGTTTTTTAGGGCTGTAAATCTATCTGGGTTGGGTCGAGTGTCCCTCCGCGAGCCTTATTTCCCGGATGAAATATAATAAAATAATCAAGTACAAGTGTATGAAAGTTCAATTGTTTATTGTGGCTTTATATTTTAATTTATTCATTAGATGGACGGATTGACTTAACTTGAGTTTGAATTGAACCGTGTATGTTGTGTGTATTGACCATTGGTGTGCTACAGCCGAGAAAGGTTTGGGGAAATGCACGCTAGGTTGTGGTGGGAAGAGAACCGAGCCAGAATACACGAACAATACCTGTAATGTAGATCTATATGCAATACACGCGAGGTTGTGGTGGAACTAGAGGTAACGCGTTACTTGGATGCAGTCTATATTCAATTTTACTGACAGTAATTTAGCGTGATCTGGTTGATATGTATTAAGGCACCATTCACCAACATCTTGAAAGACGCAAGGAATTGCTTTGCATCTGGTTTTCTTTACTCTCTTAATTATTCGTTTCGGTTGAAGATTTCTAATTGAGGGTTCTATATATATATTTTTACTTGTTTGTATTTTTCTTTTGATTGTCGAGTGGAACATACCAATTTGGTACGTGGAGTACCGTTGCCGTAGGTAATGGTGAGAGATAAGAGAGGGTTTAGATTCGGCAGGAGTGATTATAAAAAAAAAAATTGTTAATAACAGTAATAACGATAGTAATTAACTTACAATAACATATACTGCTTCGGATTCCCTTGTTCTCCTTAGTCGTTTCTGCCTATGGGCTCACGTCTTTTTTACGCAAACACCATTGTCTATGATTCCTTGAATCAAGGACTAATAATATCCAATGATATTATTCGGTGGAGTTGAAATTGCAGGAACAGAAAGCTTTCTAAATATAAAGACTATCAATTTCTTTAATCCTCAAAAACACGGTTCACACTTTACACCCACTGGACGGCGCGTATCTGACAAATATGGAGTTCGTTGAGATCCAAAAAGGCTGACAGACTTCTTTGTTCTCTGCCTTCTTTTTTAATTAAATGTGAAAAAGGCCAAATCTGATCTGAGTAAATGCAAGCGCAATCAGAAGTGTCATTCCCTAAGCACCACCTGATGTGTTGTTACGTTATGTTAGTTCGCATTGTGTTTCAGTAAGTGCATAAGGCTGCGTTTGGAAAGAGTGTAAATTCCGGTTAAGTGCATTATTGCACTCCGGTCTAAAATTGTATGTGTTTGGAAACAGTGTAAAAAGGCCTCTATTATTGATGGAAATTTGCAAACACCCGATGATTTACATTGATTTAGCGGTGGAAAATTACATCGGTTTTTTCGAAGTAAAAAATCACGCCCTATTTCATCGAAGGAAATAGAAGAGGAGTTTATGCTCTTCCACCAGCACGGCACTCTGAGATCTAAGCAACGGTTATTCTTAGATTTGAGATCTGAGGAGTTCGAAACATCCACCAACAGCCTTGAGGAGTCCGAGCATCAGCGTTTAAGTCTGCGTTGAAATCAAAACAATGAACCTCTTCTCTGTTGAAGTTTGCGTTTAAGCTGGTGAGAGAACAACGAACCTTTTCATTTCTCCATCCGATTTACTGATCAAATATTGATCTAGTGTTATTGTGTTCTTTTATTTAGTTTTTCTCTTGTTCAAAGTTCCTAACCATCATCATTTTTAGGTCCCCTTCAATGTATCTCTGAAAGTGAAAGTAAGATTTCTCCTGATTTTCAGTTTCTCAATATGATCTGTAGTTTTTACAGATTTGGAAAATTTTCTATCTTGTAGTAACATTTATAGATGTATATGTTTTTTTATCTATTCAACATTTCCCCTACATTTTGTAGTTATTATTAGATCAGATCTATAAAATATTTCATTTGTATCCCCTGCATTTTGTAGTTAAATATCGTACTTAAGTTGGGAGGCTTTGTAGTTAAATAACCCTAATTAGTTCAATTAGAGATTGTCATGACTGTTGTAAGTTGTGATGAAGGCGGATTTGGCCCTCTAGTGAAATTGTAACACCTGGCACCTCATGCAAACCAAGTGCAGCCTCTTGACAACTGGGCAGCTCAGGAAGCTCGGGCAGCTCGACAGAGCTTGCCACAGCTTGCCACTTACAGACAGCTCGGCATGGCTCGCCACAGGCAGCTCGGCAGAGCTCGCCACAGGCAGCTCGGTAGAGCTCACCACAAGCAGCTTGGCATAGCTTAGGGAGTTCAGTATAGCTAGGGGCAGGTCGGCATAAGCAGCTCGTCACGGGCAGCTGGCCACTCTACAGGCAGCCTGGCATCTTACGAAGAGCTCGACACTTACAGGTAGCTCGACACTTAGGGGCAGCTCGGCGTATCGTAGGAAGATCTCCTACTTGACAGATCCAGAGACCTGCGCCCACGTCTCTCACTAGGCGGTGCCGTGCCTACTAGTCCTGAGAGTTGTCCCTTGATTAGTAGAGCCGTACTTTGCAGCAGCCGCCTGCACCCGCCACCTCAGCTCTAGCAGTAACGGTTGTGGCAGAGAGATAGAGGTGGTTACGCTTGACTTGACAGAGGTTGTTATGCCTGATTTGACAGGACACCACTATATAAGGACTCCGACCCTCAAAGACAAGGGGGAGAGAATGAAAAAATTGAGGTAATCCCTGCTCTCTAGCTCTCTCATTCCTCTAATATCATCTTTAAGCTCTCGACAATCAGAGTGCTAACTTAGGCATCGGAGAGTCCCCGCCGGGTAAATACCCTCGGGCCCCCTGGTTCAGTTCTCGCAGGTTCATCAGCTCCCGCCGCCTACAAAGAGGAAGAAAGATGGAGTTCTCGCATGTTCCTCAACTCCCGCTGCCTACAAAGAGGAGGAAAAGATGGAGTTCTCGCGGGTCTCTCAGCTCCCGCCGCCTACAAAGGAGAGGAGATCACCTCATGCAGAGGGCAGTCGGGTTGCGCTACACCAGGGAGCTCCACCATCATTTGAGTTACAGGCCGCCTAGGAGCAGGTCAAATGACGAGTCCACCAAGGTAGTTCACCACCAGGGAGCTCGTCACCAGGTAGCTTACCACCAGGGAGCTCGTCACTAGGTAGCTCACCGCCAGGGAGCTTGTCACCAAGTAGCTCACCACCAAAGAGCTCGTCACCAGGTAACTCACCGCCAAGGAGCTCGTCACCAAGTAGCTCACCACTAGGGAGCTCATCACCAAGTAGCTCACCACCAGGAAGCTCCACCATCCTCTCTTGGGAGCAGGTCAAATGGCGAGGCACTTAACCAAAAAAAATTGGTACGTGACCAGAAACGATTACATCAAGTTGCTTAATACTTTCATTCATTTTGTCCATTGCTTCAATGAAATGTTCAAATGATTTACTCTTTGTACCATGTACTCTCTTCTTTGCCCCTGATGAATATGAACTTGTACGAGAGACATTGGTATGGCATTGACCACCATCTTCATTAATGTTTACAGTGCATGCAGCAGGAGTGGATGCACCATCATCCTCGGCATCATCGTCAACATCAAAGGAATCCCCCCCAACATTATAACCCAAACCCCCCTCTTCTTCTAGCTCAGCTCCTGTCATGGCATAATCTCCACTTGGTTGATCATTCCCGATTTCCAATTGCATCTCATCATACGTTTCCATCATTCATCCTTTCACACAATGTGCAAGAGGGTTAGCCTGCATTCAATAAACCAAATTTTCATGGTTGGGGTTTCTTGTCATTTGTAATAACAGTATTGCTAGTATAATACTCAATGCATTGGTTTAACTGCAAGTACTCCTCCCAAACTTGTGTGTCGGCTTGTATTTGGTTTCTTGCTTCATTCCATGTAAATGGGTTTTAGTGTGTGCATTCTACTTATCAAAAACCTATCAGTCATTTCCTTGCATACATGAGTGTATGCAGATGTTTTGAAGCCTTTATCTATCTTGTTGCCAAGGGAAACCTGTTCGGCCAAGAGCTCTATCATGGCCTTATCCATCGCATCATTCCATCGGATCTGCCGACTACGCTTTGCTTTTATATGACTGGACGCGATATTGATAGTGCCTTCTTTCCGGATTATCGATTTATTGGATGACCAGCAGACAAATCTCTAGTGTCCTTACCTGACACCATTCCTAGTAACCAATTTCATCCCATGAAATAAATGTAAAATGTACAATAAATCAACCTTATATTAAAGTGAAAATTATTTGCTAAAAATAATGATTATCATAACAATAAAAATTAAGATGATGACCATTTCTTACTAGTAATAAAAGCATAAAGGTGATGTTTGCCACATTAGCTATAAGTACCAATCCGAAAGTCAACTATTCAAATAATAAAATATAGATGAAGCAACATTTATTTAGAGCATTAAATCAACAATAATCGTAAAGGCATAAGTTGTAAGGGTATTGACAGGATGAGTTTTGGGAATTTCAAATCTACCTTTTCAATCTTCCATCCACATCATTCTTGCATGCCCGCTTGGACTATTGCTTCCCCAAGCCATTGGAAATTTTAAATGTAACCAATATCTTGTGAATCATGTATAGTTTTGGAAAAAATATGTTAAGTCTATTGACAGGATGAATTTTCTTTTTTTATTTTAAGAATAAGTTGTAAGGGTAGACCCACCTATGGATTCAAATCTATATTGGAATTGAATTGAGTCCTGCCTTGGAAGTATCAAGGCCTATTTTCTCTACTTGTTTCCTTTTAAAAAACATATTTCTTATTTGATCCTCTCTTACTTCTCTTTTATGTTTTTCAAAATGCTTGAATTCAATTTTTGCATATATAGATCTTGGTCTAAATTTTATCATGTTGTTATGGTTTCTTTACAACATACAAATCCATGTTTCTTTATCCTTGGATCCTTATACAGCCCACAACAGATCTGATTTCAACTGACCCCACATCTATGACACATCAATGCTTTTTGTCTCATCCATCCACACCCTCCTATTTTCATCCACACCCTTCAATGGCTTACTTTAGTTAAAACAAAATATCTAAATCTAAATAAAAAACTCCACCAGCAAAAGGCAAATGGTTAAACCATAAAACAAAAGAAAAAATGATTCCCAAACAACAAATGGACCAATCAACATTTGTAATCAACATGACAAAACAATAAACAAAGATAACAAAATCTATTAAATCAGAAGATCTCCATCTAATCAGAAACCCCACCAAAAGAAGACAGATGGTTAAACCATAAAATAGAATAAAAGGAGTAGTTGCTTAGCAAATTATGGACAGAAGTGATGGACTTGGGAGGGTTTGATATCAATGTCCTAGATGCAGTATTCAGGTATTTGGGTGGAAATGAAAGTGAGGCTAACCTATTTCTTGCTAGGCAAAAGCCGTTCCGAGAGCAGATGGTATGCAACATCTTATCAAAATTACCCGGATTTCGGAAGCATTAGACATACTTTAAGCTTTCTATAACTTCATTACAATTTGATCAACTTTCACAAACTATGGTTAATGTCATGTTTTTTGATAGCTCACAATCATGGCATATTTTGATTCTTTATTTGAACTAGACACAAATTGTTTTGTTGAATGTGAACTTAACTAGCAGATGGTTTTACATAGCTCTATATGCATAATCTCATACTTTAGTGATTACAGCATTTATGATATGGTTACATATGTTTTTTTTTTTC